TACCTAATTGAAAAATAATCCAGGTACCCATTAGGCCCCCCCCAAAAAAGTCTCTGGTTTCTGGTATGCGCGCGCGTCGCCGTAGCCATGCGCGTCGGCAAAATGAAAAGGTTTTTTTTTCAATGAAAGATGATGTCTCAAAACCGCCAAACTCACTGGTTTGACTGGAATCCTGCTGCTGCTGCACAATTTTAACGTGTTTTTAGATTGGGTTATGGTCGAGAATAAGCTTTATGTGGCCTCTCTGGACTCCCATATATTTGCACTAAGTTTAGTCGGGCACCATTTGCAGTCATCAGCCGACATTTGAAGCAAAAAATCGGGTACAAAAAAAAAAAAAGCCGCGTCGCCGCACCACTTTTTGGGCAAGCTCCATACCAGAAACCGGAGACTTTTTTTTTTGGCCTTAAGCCCAACCCCAAAATTCAAGTCTAGGAAGTTGCTGTTCAGATTGTTCATAAAGATCCGTACGATAATATCGGTGCATCGATACAGCAAGACACAAGTGACTTGACTTTGGTTGGCACAAAATGTACTTGTCTCATTACAAAATCATTGTTTACGTAAAGAGTGTACATGTACATGTACCGGTACATGCACGTGTTTCACATCGGGTTTTTTTCCTTCATATTTTGAATTTTTTTCTTTCTTAATGCGGTCCACGTGCATGTGGCCGGTATGTGATGATGAGCCCTTAGGGGTTGCTTGAAATGTCAGACGTTAAGAAGAACTGACAAGTATAAGACTCGGAGCTTTCTTCCCTGGTGGGATCAGATCTGAATTGTTAACAGAGGGAAGGGTGAATAAATAGAGCATGCCGTGGGTTATGAGAGCAGCATGCATGCCTTTGGCAGGTGTACCTACATGTCCATGTACATGTTTATTGTCTAACCGTACTGTGGTGTCAAATTCACACCTGTAGGTGTATTAAGTGCAGACGTGTGCGTGCTGGTTCATGGGTTAATACTAGTAAATTTGCACTTAAAGTTAGAGTGGACCATATGCTCTATCCAAAAAGTAACCGACCAAATTGTTGTTAAAAATTTACTTTGTTACTTAACTCCCTGTGAAATTATTCCTTCTGGCATGCTGTCACTTTGAAGAAAACAATAAAAGAAGGTCATTTCCAAAGATGTGTCAAGTGACACTTTTTGGAAATTTTTGTTTGCGGTTGGTTTGTAACTGGGTGAATCCGTGAATGGGTGCAAGCGTTTACGGGACGCACACGCGTGCGCGGCTGCTATTATTCGACGGTTCAGTATGTGACATCATGTACGTAATACATGTACATGTATACAACATGTGGGTCTATGTATACCACATGTGGGTACATGTACACGTGTACATGTACCAGTATGTACAATCGGCTGAATGAGAATCATGTCTCAAGTGCTGATTTAGGGATATTGTCAAGACAGGGCGCAATTCAAAATATGACATGGCAATTTTCAATTGAAATCGAGATCCAGCGTACTGTGTTTTCTCAAAATATACAGAGCTCTTCAGTTGTTAAGAATCCATCTTTAGATTTTGATTTTTGAGCACTTTTGTTGCTTCAAATGAAAAAAAAAACATGTGCAAGTGAAAAATGGTCCATTAATACAAGCAGTTACAAGTGGGTCTACATAAAAGTACATGTACATGTACCGGTACATGTACTGTACGTTCATACAGATACATACACGTACGTGTACATTTATGTATTTAATATGCAAATACAGACGTAAGTCATTGACACTGCAGTACACGTACATGTAAGTCATTGACACTGCAATGTGCATGTTCATATTGAAGGCTTAAAGGTTTACAAAAATATGTATGTAGAAATAGGAAAATATCAAAAAACACATTACAAATAGGGAGTTAAACAGTATTGTTATGCAGTGGTTACTAAGTCCTCAACCCCAGGTGATTCACAGAGAATTCCTTGGAAAATTGCCAGACATGTGAATTCACGGACCTGGGCATGCCAAATTATGTACGTTCATTTGCCTATAACGGAGCGCACTTTTTGAAGTTGGTGAATTTGAGTCAATTACAAAATAGTTTGCCAACTCCAAATCCGCTCCGTTCACAAGTACCCCCTCACCGGCAAGAAAAGTACAGTTGGGGGTGACCGACCGACGCCATCTTGCCTGACTGCAATTCATTTGCCGCGAAGCACGGCTACTGCGTGTACATACATGTAGTACAAATCCCCTGGTGTACATGTGTCACACACAAGGAACGATGTGTGTCAACCAGCAAAATGTCCCGCCCATGGGACATCGTTGCTAGGTAAAAGGTCGCCCTCTTTTGTCAGCGCACGGAGCCTATACATGATGTTGCACCCTCCTGTTATATAAAGGCGAATGATGGACTGTTCACAGTTCCTTGGAACAGCTTGTATTCTTTCGTCAAATGTGCATGTACATGTACATACTATGTACGTCATAACAATGTATGTAAGACCCCCCCTTCCACAACAACCCTGAAAAATATCTTTCCATTATACATACATGTACATACGTACGTGTGCATTTAGCAATCTTTTACGATTTGTGTGGTTTGATTTCTAGTTGGTTCAATCTTCTCTCCTGTTTTCATGGGCAAGCCTAGGGGCCCCCTGCTGAATGTCCCAAGATAAATTTAGAACCTGTCCATTATTTTCTGGCCGGTAATCCGAGCCGTGATGGGTATTGCCTTACTGGACATGAATGGGAAACATCTCGAGCGAATTGCGATGTCGGCACGCCAAGCCGGATTGATGGAGAGTATTTTTCTCGACTGCGGCAGGGTTAATATCTTGGGAGGGTTAACTGACTTGTTGGTGGCTGTCCCTGCTGAAATCTTGGCACACAATTACAAAAAAACGGTGCAAATAGTGGATTTCAGAAGATGACACCCACACTGAGCGAACAGGAATAACAGATCCTTAGAAGGAAAAAAAAGATGACATTGAATGAGAAGGGAGTTTTGGAGCTCAATATTTACGTGATCTTTCCAGTAGGTCATTCAACGTGTTAGATGTATCATTTATTGATTTTAACAGTCCAGCAATTTTGCTAAAACGCTTACACAGAAATGATGTAAATGATGATGAAAATAATAAAAGTACAAATGTACATGTGATTAGGCTAAACAAAAAAAGTTTCCGGTTTCTGTTCTGCACGCGCGGCGCCATAGCCATGCGCGTCGGAAAAATAATTATTATTATTTTTTTAATGTAAGATGATGTCTGAAAACCGCCAAACTCACTGGTTTGACTGGAATTCTGCTGCTGCACAATTTCAGTGTGTTTTTAGATGGGGTTACGATCAAGTTTATGTGGCCTCTCTGGGCTCCCATATATTTTGCACTGAATTTAGTCGGGCACCATTTGCAGACGGTGTTGTAATTTTGTAATTGTGCGTCTGGAAGCCGGACTGAGGGGGCGACGGTCGAGTATCTGGAACCTGTAAACGGTTTTTAATTAGCGCAATATGTAAGGGAGCAGACTTACGTGTATGACTAGCCTGGCAGCTCCATCGAGATCGTAAGTGGCTGCAGAATTCTCAATCCTTATGGCCTTACTGTGGTCACCTCAAGCTTCACTGCTGAAGGATATTTATGAGAGTTTTAAGGGGATCGAAGCATCATCTGCAACATCAGCCGACATTTGAAGAAAAAAAAAAGTTGGAAAAAAAAAAAAAAGCTACGTCGTCACACCACTTTTGGGGCAAGCTCCATACCAGAAACCAGAGAATTTTTTTTTTGCCTTATGAAGAATTGAGTGAACACAATAATCAAAACATGTACCGGTAACATAACATGGACAGAATCTTCGCTATAAATTGACAGAACTCTAATTACCGTGTGCATGAATTTACCCAAAATGTCATCTCATTTATGTTCATAGCCCATTTAGGATTGCTGCCAGCCAAAATAAACACAATGTTCTTGGTCTCTAATTAAGAGACTTGTATGTAACGTATGCAACACGGACATAAATCTTGTGACAAATTTCTGTCCATGTTGTGTACGTAATATCCTGAACATAATACCCTGTAACTTATTAAAAATACGAAAAAAAACATGAAAAAAAGTAAAACTGCTGCAAACTGCTTACTGACTGGATGGACCTGAAATATATAAATCTTAAAATTAATGTGGCCTGACGTTGCGAACTTAGCAAGTTCTTCTTCAGAGGCTAAAACAGAAATGACAGAGGTACATACATTAACATGGGGGTGCACACAAACATGCAGGGCTGAAAGATACGGTACATGTAGATTGTCTTGGTTTTTACAGGCAACAATGCTGTAGGGAAAAGAATGAAAAGGCACAATATTTGATGAAGACATTTATTGTAATTATAACTTTCTTTCAATATTAACAAACTTTCTGTCCATGTGGCGTACTTATCGCTGTGAGCATAAATATCTTGTCAAATTTGCCTGGAAAGTCTGAAATTCTTTAAAAGCACAATCCTCAACAATGGGGTGGGATTGTACAAGTGGAAAATAGGACAAACAACTTGATATTAGATGAAGTAAAAACCAAACAAAATGTTTCTCGTCCGCTTTCTTTTTGGAGGCCACCTGGATTTTTAAAATTTTTTACTTTTGAAAAATGCAGTAAAAAACATGGAAAAAGTCCACAAATTCATCGGAAATTAAATACTTGCAAAATATGTGAGTCAAAGTTTTCAGTATAGACCAATACAACTCTAAATTACACTGCAAATTTGTTCAGTTCTCTTGTCCAACTTGTCTTTCATTTTAAAAGTGTCTTTGAACAGTGGAAACACCAACGGTTGCAGGAAATTTTAAAATGGCGGCCATCTTGAAAAAATTAAAAAATGAAAAATAAAAAGCCCCTCTTCCTCCTTTTTTCCAAAAACCCGGATGCGAAACATGGTGTTTTTTTATACAGCCTTATTATCCTGCTTCGTTTCCAATCCCATGTTACACTTTTGTACCCCTTTACTGTGGAAAGGCCCATATTGATGAGTGATTTTTTTTTTTCCATTCCTTCTGCAGTTCGGCCCTTGACAAACAAACCGGCTGCAGTGTTGCCATCAAGAAGATTAGTCCTTTTGAACATCAGACGTACTGCCAGCGCACCCTGAGAGAAATCAAGATCCTCACGCGCTTCCGACATGAAAATGTAAGTCTGGGGCTCTGACCCCACAACCCTGAATGCAACGGAGAACAGTAGTGTTGAAAGTTGTTGCATACTGTTGTATTTAGCAGTTGCATGCTTCGCCCAGGCTGCCAAGTTGCCCATGCTTTGTTGCATTTTGTACTGGTATGGTAGAATCCACTGTTGCAGTCTCTTGCATTTAGCAGGGAGCTGCTCATAGTGCTAAGGATGGCGCAACAGAATCCACCGTTGCATTTCATTGCATATTCCTAACAACCACAGGGTATTCTCCAGGCACCCTGCCAAATGCAACAGAATGAACCTACCCTGCCAAATGCAACGGAATGCAGGGGTGCAATCACTGATCTCTATATAAAGACTGGATAGCGGATATGCATACAACATTCACACAGTAGACTTTGCATATTGACCAATTCGCCCCCGGTCTCACGAAGATGGCCGCGTATAATACGAACGTTCTACGCGTAAATACGCGCGCGTTGTATCAACAGTTGACGCGCATTTTGGTCACGTACACATATTATGATGTTCTAAAAGGGACACATTTCCGTAGTGATTATTATTTCAAAACGCCGAAAAAGTTATATTTGCGGCATTTTAGTAACCACGACGTTAGAAAAATTGTAGTTAACCTTGGTCAGTGATGGTGGTCCAGTGAACCGCGACGTTACAAAAGAAATCATGCTGTCTATAAAAATGACAACTTGTCCTTTGTAGATCACCAGCCGGTCTCACCAATATGGCGTCAAATTCGTACATTGTGCGGCTCTTTATTAGCTATCCAGTCTTTATATAGAGATCAGTGGGTGCAATGCATCAGATCAGGACACTGCTAAATGCAACAACTTGCAACAACTTTTTTGCCATTGGTGCATTCTGTTGCATTTAGCAGGGTTAGGCTTAAAGCAGGAAAACTGTTCATAGGGACAAAGCTGGTGCATCAGAATCCACTGTTGCATAAATGTTGCATTTCAAATTAGGTTTTGCCCTTCACCGACGTATAAACACTGTATACTCAGTGTGTTACCTCCCGAGTAAAAGTTGGGAAAAAATCACTCGGGTGGGACTGATAAAATTCCATCTTATGGGTGGGACGGATAAAATTCCATCTTATGATTAACCCGTACCCTACTAGACCCTCCAACGCATGCCAATATGTGCCTCAAGAAAATCTCCTATGTTTTTTGCATGGCCCTCCAATATCTGCCATGTCATTTCAAGGGTAACTGGACAGGCACTCCAATACATGCCACAGAGAACAATGAGAGTCCTCTGATAACAAAGTGAGTGCCCCCAGCTGGTCAGTATCAGGCACCCTCCAGGGCCTCCAACTCCTGCCAATTGGAGCCTTCACTGCTACATCAAAGTATCCTCCAATAAACTGCAGCTGGAGGGCATTGGCATAACCAACTGACATGCAGTAAACTACCCTCAGAGAGTAAGGGTTAAATGTTGCATTTAGCAGGGTAACTGGTCATAGTGCAAAACTGGTTGTTCATCCAGTATTTCTTGTGACTGGACTCGGTGATGGACTCGACCACATCCCTGATAAAAACGGAAATAAAAAACCTTCCAAGGTGAACATTTTGTATTTTAGGAATGCTAGAGATAAAAAACTCCAAAGAATTGCTCTCAATCTAGCATTGCAAATAATCCACCATTCAAAACGTAGTTTAATACCAACCAAAACAGTCCTTAGGCTAAATTGTATCGGTGTCGCTGAAACCCAAGAACCTCATAGAGACACCTCATTGACTGTAGCTATCAGTGACACAAAATTTCACTTGGTTGCTTCCATCGAAAGCGATACCGGTACTTGCATACATGTACATGCATGCAATTTTAGCCTCTGTTCTCATTTTTCCTCCAAGGCGAAGAACTGTAAACAGGGCTGTGATTTTTCCCCCACAAGTGGGGATACCTGATAGGAACGGAGGGAAAGTCATTTTGCTGGGCTGCATTTTGAGTGCCTCTCCAGAGAGTGGGTTGCCATGGTGATGCTGCTGGGCAGAAATTAAAGTCAGTTTGACCCAGGGAGATCGGGCTAGCTGTGGCCCACTTGACTGGAGACCTGTCCTCATAGGACAGGGAGTGATTTTTTTTTTCTGTTCACAACAGTCTTGGTAGTCTGAGTATCGACTGTTGTCCAATGGCGCCCTCTCTGTCTCCTGTCCAATACATCTAAGCTTATCTAAAATTTATGCGACACCATGCTCCAGCCGATCAAAGTTGTGTTTACCAAAATCGTGACGTCATTTCATTCCGAAATCTGGACTTAGCTGTTGATTTAGATTGGTCAATGTGGATGCCATGTTTTTGTAATTTACAATAACGGGCATAGAGAGATAATCAAACCTATACACCACATTGGCTCTCTAAACTGTCAATAAAATTCTATGCGTGACGCGCAAGAAAAGAGGGCATTCGCATTATACCGGTACGCGCATTCTTTTGCGATGTAATTAGGTACATGGAACGCGTTGCCTTATGATTGCGTGTGAATATTCAAATTAGGTTGACCCCGTGTCAGAGTTCATGAGGACAAAAGTGCCCTGGCTGTTCTCTGATTGAGTGAGACAGTAAGGCAGTGTTAAAACCCCATATTGAATTAACATCTCCCTGATGCAAAACATATAATAGCGATTGGTTGCACTGTTCATCAGAATCCAACCAGCCGGCCGACACTGGCAAGCTTTGTAGGTGGTCGAGTGGTAAGATGCATTAGGGCAATTCCACGGTTACTCACGTTACATTTTTGATGTACTTTTGAGTTTCCTTGGGCTGTAATTACCTTACTGAAAAGGTTTAATAACCGTTATCCCCATGGTAGATAGAGTAGACCTAGACCTACCTAAGCACCAAAGATGACATCCAGAAAAATGTGTTATGTATGATAAACAAGATGCACAAAATCGGTTACTCACGTTATGAAAATGTAATGTGAGTAACCGTGGAATTGCCCATTAGTTAGCAGGAGGTCGTGGGTTCGAGCCCCACCCAAGTGAGCTTACAAGTGAGGTTTTCTCACAAGAACAATTATATGACATGCATTTATGTAATACCTGCGGTATCCACTGAACATGCTGAAAATTGGTTTACTGTGAAATGCAAAACCCAATATTGAATTCATCTCCTTGATCCAAAATGTCATCATATAAAAAGTGAATAATTAACGAGTTGACCCAAGAACTACAGAGCATCATGAATTTTTTAAGAAGGATCTGTACAGTATGTAAGTCTGCGCTGTAATACAGACCCCAGATTGCAAGCTCTTGAAATAGTTGTTACCAGTGGATTCTGAAGCACTACTTGAACGTTTGTTGCCAGCTCGGGAGAGACAAAATGTCAAGGGTTGAACAACTCAACAAAGCGGTTCAACATCGCTGGCCATGCTGGCTAGGCATGTTCATTTGACTGGCAGTTATTAGGGTTCAATGTACCTCATCATGTATTCAGTGGTCTAATGGCACGATGTTGATATAATTCTGTCCAGCTAAATCTGCCACCTTGGTCAGAGCTTGGCTTCTCAGTCAACACTTCATACAAGTAATGGTCTTCTTTTGATTGCTCCCACCGTACATTACAAAAGTCACATTAACCCTAACCTTCCCAACTTTATCAAAATCCATTCCCCCCCCCCCCCTTTTGGGGGGTTTTGGTAGGCAAGCCATCTGTACCGGTACCAAGCCCATCAAAACCTACCTACAAGTATAGTCGTGGTGGTCTTGTGGTGGATTTCAGTGGATATTATGTGAAGCACGGTCATTGATAAATATTGGCAGACTTGTGCGTAGTAGAATGTTGCACGGTTTACCCATGCGACAGTCTACTACGCGTGCACTTTACAAAGCAATCGTGGAACTATCACACGGGTGAAGTACGCACTCGCGAACATTGCCCTAACTTCACATGAAAAGATGGTTGCACACGTTCACGTAATATTAGCGTTTTCCCGAGCTCAGTGATGCCGAATTGAAGAATATTGTGGACAATAAAGATGCCTCCTGCATTAAAAAAAAGTTGGTCACAAGCAATTGTCTTTACAACCGTAGAACTGTATTGCAAACGAACTGAACTTTTCGGAGGTTGGGCAATTTTATTCTTCTGGTGAGCTGGACAAGTTTCTCTGAAGAAAACTAGTTCTCTCGGCTTCGCCTTGGGAACTACATTGTACAATGTACGTGTAGTTTGTCAACTTCCAATACCTCGGGGAGCGAATATCGACTGTCCACCCTCAAACCATGTTATATTTGTAGTACCACAGTACAATGTGGTACTGTTAAATGTAACTCCACATGCATACATGTACGTGTACATGTACATGGACCTACGAGTACATCTACATGTACAGGGTCCTGTTCATACATTCACATTCACGTACATGTATGTGTATGTGACAATTACATACTTTTATGTACATGTATGTATACATGTACATGTACATGTATGTATCATTATGTTGAAAGGTAAATTTATATCCATAACTGTAATTTTCAGAATATAAGCCGCGCGGAGTAAAAGCCGCAGCACGCACAAATCTGCAAATTAAGATTTGAGGTCGGTGTATAAGCCGCACCGACCGCAGCGGTTTCAAAAAGTGTGAGGCCTCCAAATTCTAGTCAAAATGCTCTGGACTAGTTCCATTTAGACTACGAAAGCTATAAAAAGGGCCACAAAAGTTATATCAAATCATTTACAGTCGATACTCTTTACAAACAAATATGGAAATTGATGATGAAAAATAAACACTGGGAATTGCTGCCCGCTTGCCCGTCCGATCCCCGGCCTTAAAAGTTAGCGCATGGCCCGGCAGCCTGCGCCAGCGAATGACAACATTTTCCCGCAGCACTTGAGAGAGTATGCAACCCGCCATTTTTGTCGTCTGACTGAAACGCTACAATTTCTTGCAGATGATTTGTTTTGTCCTAAGAAATAACAGACCGTTTTTACAACAAAACTTACTAACTATAAACTAATCACGAGTAGTAACTTTTTTCGAAAAC